ACCGTTTCTGAGGCTGGCTCCTGACGCCAGCTCAGCCAAACACAAGCAGCTGCTGAGAAGCTGAGCTTCTAACAGTGCGTGCTGTGGCTTCCCTGGGTTATACCTTGGTTCCATTTCTCAAGCCTACGATTCTAAGCAACCATCACTTTATCTTAAAGCTTGATTAAAGCTGATCGTGAGTAATCCGACACACGCTATGCGTGTTATTCCTCAGGAGAACAAAATGGATTGTTCAAGGGCACGCTGGGAAACTTTTGGAGAGTGTCAGCGTGGAACGTGACGTGGGCTTTTCAGGAACCTGAGGCAGCCCGCCCGCTGGCCTGGCAGGCCAACTGGGCAGAGGAGCAACTCGCTCCAGCAGGATCAGTCTGTCTCTCTCCAGGAAGCAGTAAGAAAACGGGAACACCATCTGAGACTTGAGTCACTGGAAGGTTTCTTTGCATTGTTTGTACCCACTGCTATCCACTGCTGCTCTCCACCGTGTGTCCCATGCCGCTGGTGACTGCTGTCTGAGGGCAGCGACAGCGGACGGTGATGGCGTGCTGAGCAGGCACTGCAAGCAGCAAGCACCCATGGGAAGAGTGGTTGAGCATCGAGCTGGTGACAGGTTACTGCTGCAAGGGACACCAAATTCTTGGTACTCCGTTGATTTTCTGTACAATGGTACCTGGCCTGGGAAAAATTGGTAAACTCTGTGGTTTTGTTCTGTGTTAGCTAAAGGCTTTTCACCTATCGCTTTCCTTGCTGTGAGCCGCTGTAGGCAAAATCTGCTTTTTTAGTTTTGGGTCTTGCACTTCTAAAAGGATTTATGGGGTTTTGATACTTCAGTACAGTTTTGCATTAATATAGGTTTGCTCTTTTGCAAGCATCTTTACAACAAACACTCTATGCACAAAATTAAAGCGTATTAAAAACCAAGCATCTCTAGAATAAAAACCTTATTGGGACACCCCTGGAAGTACCGTCTCCCAGAAGCAAGAGAAGTCAACAGCAGCTTTGTGCCAGAGCATTGCCAGATGGATGACATTTGCCCCTGTCAACTGGTTTGGCTGCCTCACTACAGTTCCTGCTTCATGAAACAACGTTTCAAGAATGGAAACTCCCATGAGAAATGTCACCTAGGCAAGCACTGCTGACAGCTACAGGCTGATTTACACTGGCAATGCACTGAAAACCACAGGTCAAAGGACAGGAAGTCTACAGACTTCAGTGAAAAGGATTCTACCTGTATCAGTGCTACTGGTTTGTAATCCCTGAAGACCTGAGGTAGTGTCGATGAAAGAGGATTGTTGCAAATGCCTCGCGTCTCTCATCAAACCTGTCCTCTGCTGAATCCAAAAAATGCTGCTTGTGGCACCAACAACTCTGCCATAAAAAAACACCTGATCAAGCTGTAGCTCACAGCTGCTTTTACAGCAAGGATGTAACAAAGTGAGATGGGCATTTAAAATAAACACCTAAGTCAAAAACATCTAACACAGGAAAGACACGGAGCTGCTGGAGCAGGGCCAGAGGAGCCCACAGCAATGATCCGAGGGCTGGAGCACCTCTCCTATGAGGAAAGGCGGAGAGGATGGTGAGGGGACTGGAGCATCTCTCCTCTGAGGAGAGGCTGAGCGAGCTGTGCTTGTTCAGCTTGAAGAAGAGAAGGCTGCGAGGGGACCTAATATATACTTACAAATATCTGAAGGGTGGGTGTCAGGAGGATGGGGCCAAGCTCTTTTCAGTGGTGCCCAGCGACAGGACAAGGGGCAATGGGCACAAACTGAGGCACAGGAAGTTCCGTCTGAACATGAGGAAGAACTTCTTCCCTCTGAGGGTGACGGAGCCCTGGAACAGGCTGCCCAGGGAGGTTGTGGATTCTCCTTTTCTGGAGATATTTCAGACCCGCCTGGACAAGATCCTGTGCAGCCTACTGTAGGTGACCCTGCTTCGGCAGAGGGGTTGGACTAGA